TGTTTCAGTCCAGAAGAGGATAGTGTTGGTTGGTAGAAAAAAATGGCGTTGTTTTTTTTTTTTTTTTTGTTCGGTAAAGCCTTAAGCATGTGTGCTGGGCGAAATTGGGTCAAACGTCGCCGAGAGAAAGAAAGGGTCAAGCAAATATAGACCAGTGGTGGAAGAGTTCAGGTTCGCCTTGAATAGTAGTAATTGCTGTTTTTTAGTGTACGGCGTGCGTTTTTCAATGTTTTCCCTATTTGGCTTTTTTTTTTGTGAAGGTGTGTATATAAGAAATTGTTTGTTTTTGTACATATATATCGTCTTGTGTGTTTTTTTAGCAGGAGTGGAAAAATCACGTCCAGGTCACCATTTGTAGTGGGGCCGTGACATGTTAAGTTGGCGGTTACGGTTTGTTGAGAGAAGTCAGACGTGGACGAAACGCCTGTATGGTTCAGATACTCCTGCCCGCCGGGCTCAACTACATATAAAGGTTGGACTTTGATTAAGTCCAAAGAAGAAGGAAAAGAAAGCAAACAAAACCGATAATATATGTATACACAACAAATATATATTCATAACAAGTTACAATACAGGGAAACAGTACGAAGGACAAAGTGTGTGTGAATATTCTGTATGTGCGTGCGTGTGTGTGTGAATATTCTGTGTGTGCGTGCGTGTGTGCACGCTATCCCTTGTTAGCAAATACATTTCGAGGTTGATAGTTGAAAACCTCCAGGAAGAAGAGAAATTTACCTCGGGGTGTTAGTGCACAGGCCTGAAAGGGAAAAAGAGATCGAGCCGAAGGGTCATTGGCTATTTATAGCCAGGAAAGAGAGACCTCTGGTGAAAGGGTTACGAACTTGAAGGAGGAGGTAACTACGACAACATAACCCTGCATAAGGCACCTCGGATTTCCGAAAATGGTTAGTCCTTTCGGGTATTTACACACTCCAATGCAAAAATGCTTATAGTGTTAAAATTATGTAAAATATTGTTGTACAGCTGAAAATACATAACATTACTGTAACAATATATTGTAGCGGGCACCCCTGAGCGGCCCCGTATCACACAAGGGTGAACGAGATCACAAGAGGCCCGCTAACATTTTTGAAGACGTTAAATCTGACGGTGAAACAATATAGACGACAGAACGAGGATATGTATGATATATGTTGATTTATTCTAGAAAAGAAAAGGAAATAAAGTCGCCGACCCCGATTTAGTGAGAAGCCACTGCCTTGTGATAAGGGAGACCAGCAAGTGAATTGGATAAGCTAACAGTAAAGTCTCTATAATAAAATACGGCGAGGTTAGCTAAAGGGAACTAAGGCCTAAAAATGACTAGCAGTATATTACAACAAGGTTTGTAATATAACTTAACTAAAAAGGGGATTTGCTAGTCTCTCCCACGGGTTAACAGTGTATAGGGAGCATGAATGAGAGGTCAAGGTCGAAATGACCTGTTCCTCTGCCGGTTTAAGGATCGAAGGAGGAGGTAACTCCGACAATATATTAAACAAAAATTTGAACTGAATATATAATTATTCATTGAAATAAAAATTATAATAAATTTGTTACATAAACACACTAATACCATAATAGAGAAGAGTTTTATTCGTCAAAAATAGCCACAGTATATTCCAAAAAATAGAAAATATTACATTAGCTATACTCATAATTTCATATTTCTACCCCTCTTAGAACCGAGAAAAACACAGTAGATTGACACTGAACTATTTCTAAGATGCCTAGTACTACGCGCAATATCTGACTTTGAAACTACCCACTACAGAATCGGAACGAACATTTCTCCAGGCTTCTACCAATATCCGCCTTATAAACGAACATTTTTCTACACCGAATACCAAAGGACCCATTCTAAAAAGCAAATAAGTGAAAAATATATTATTTATTTTATACCCTTAAGTGAGATTGTTTTATTCCAAAGTTCCCGATAAATAAACACCAAAAAAAAAAAAGTATTGCTGGAAAATCATCCACATCATAAAAAAAAGTAACTACAATTCCTTTGCTGTTAAGAAAAAAAATTCTTTTCATGAACTCTTGTTTTCTGAGAGAACATATTTGTACTGCAAAGAACTGTTGATCTACCTTGAGGCGAACAAGTAAAATTTATATTGTAAATATATTGTATCATGTGCAATTTGTATTGTAAATATAGTGCATTTTGTACAATTTGTATATCATAAAAATATTTTGTTAATTTTAATAAATGTTTGTTTCTTTTTACAAATTTCACTTTGAGTAGATGTTTTGTCTTTTTTGTTTGCACCTCTAAAAGCACTTGTAAAAGTTGTAGAATCAGTCTTCTACATTTGTTTAAAAACCCATTAAAAGTGGCTCGGAGCGAAACTTATCTCAAATCAATCCAAGCAGCCCAACAAAACAACCCATTAAAATCGGCTCCAGACGAGAAGTAACTAAAAACGCTTTCTGATTAGCTAATAAACAAAAAAAAATCATAATGTCATACGTTCTCAACTACGTACGCATCATATCGGTTTAGTGTGTATCCTAAGCAGATACAAAATTTGCACCAAATTTCTTGGAGCCTCCCACGTGACTCGAAATATCAATAAATACGAAACATCATTCAACTTCGACAGTGAGTCTTATGAGGGATCGGTGCTCGCACCGAGGCCAGCGCCACCGACAGTTGCGGGGGCCGAGGGAAATTATTGTCCTTGTCTCGGGCGTACGCGTCTGGGTCCCCACCTAAAATAAAGACCTTGTATCACATCTCGTCCAAGTGGGGGGAAGGAGTTAATACTGTGAGTCTTATGAATTTTCTCAACTCGACACACGAATTGATGTCGCATATCTTACCAGGCTTAAAGTTAAATTTACTTAACATTTCCACAGCTTGCGATGTACACTCACTCAACTACATAAACTCAACAGAAAAATCAAATGACACATCCAATCAAAGAGAGGCAACTTCATACACAGAACAGTAAGTCGAGTACAATATTACAAAATTCAACAGCAAAAACAAACTTTATTTACATTATTCGGACTATTGTTCTCATCTTTGTCGCCATATTTATTACAACGTTTCGGCCGTTGTACGGTCCGGCCTTCTTCAAGTGGTTGCAATGTCGAACTTAACCCTTTATTTCGCTCACTGGGGTAGACTGTTCTAGTTCCACGTGCCATGTTTGATGGATGTCAGTTAGTTAACTCCTGTTAATTTCCTTTCCTCTGAAAGTACTCCACTGCCTTAACCCGGTATTGAACTCACACTCTTTTGGTCCTGTCACTGGGTCTAACCAACGCCTTTATCCACTGTGCCATGTGTCCTGACACCCATTAAACATGTGGAACTAGAACAGTCTACCCCAGTGAGCGAAATAAAGGGTTCAGTTCGACATTCTAACCACCTGAAGAAGGCCGGAGCGTACAACGGCCAAAACGTTTTAATAAATATGACAACAAAAATGAGGACAATAGTCCGAATAATGTAAATAATGTACATAATACCTCATCTCAGAAATATAGACAGATACAAAAACATGCTGTTTTATTTTCGTATAAACACAAAAATACCTTATCAAACTTATCCATTTTTATATACACAATTTCTCAACTCTTAATCTTTCATATAATATCTTCATAAACACTTCACACCACACACAAAAAGACTTTGAAGCAATTTAAACAACTCTCAACATACAATTTTGTACCTTCTATTGGTAAAAAATATTTATTGTTGAACCAAAATATTTTCATATCGTTATTTTTCTTGTTGTTTGCTTGCTTTTTATTACATTTGTGAAATTAAAAAAAGAAGTGGGTTAATCGCATTACCATCAACCCTTTACAGATTAATAAACCCATCTTGTTGGTGGCATAAACCCCCCAACCCACCCCCGCCCAAGAGTACAAATAAAAGATTTGAAAAGTCCTTCACTTTATTTTTTTTGTAAGCAACGCATAAGTTTTAAGGAAAATGGAAACAAAAAAGCTCACTTATACTTAGAATCAGAAAGAGACAACTGAAATTTCCGGAACACATAATGAGGAAAGAAGGCTTGAAAAATTTGACACTCAGTGCATATCGAAGATGCCAGACCAGGGAGTGAGGGGAAAGTAAAAAAAAAAAAAAAAAAAAAAAAAAGGAAAAAAAAAAAGACAAACAGTGCAAAGAGTTATAAAGGATACGAAATTATGAGAAACCATAATAATCGCCTCCGTCCTAAATGTACACGGTACATAAATAAAGAAAGAAAGATACACGACACCTATGAAAAAATACTAAAGCTGTGAATGTGAACAATTAAAAATAAAAGTTTTGTTCAATAATAAATAACCCAAGCATTAACATTCATAAAAGTTGTAAAAGTTATTTAGCGGCTACTTTATATATATATGCGTCAAGAAAAATAAATAAATAAATAAAATAAAAACGATTTCCCTCAACGACGCGAACTGTCAATGATAGCTTTGCATTGAGTGTATGTTGACAACGGAAGTAGATGGCTGCTAACCAGTAAAAATTTTTAAAAAAATGCTACAGAGTGATTTATTATTATTAATATTTAAAATTATAGTTTATCAAAATTTTTGTCGTCTCATCTAGAGGAAGTAAAACCTAAGTTTTTTTTCTTGATTATTTAGGTTAAAAATTATTTAGTGTTTTTAGTTAGTTTAAAAAATCTTTAAAATTACTCATGGTAGTTAAATCTATTTTTAAACGTTAAGCAGAGTTATCGTTCTTAGATTTTTAAAAATTTTTAAACCATGCCTTTAAGCTTATTAAATTTCAAATAAAATATCACTGTAAAAGAAATAAATATTATTAGTATAAAATTATTTAATTAATTCATTGGCAATTTCGCTCAAGGGCAATCTTTTTCTTTTTTTTTATTTTTGCTACAAGTTTAACCTTGTGTCTTTTTTGTACAATAGCATAAGCGGCCTGTTTCTTTTGCTGGCGATATGGAAGCGATATTTTGAAATCGTCTGTAGTAAAGAAGCTCTTCCAAAATAAATACAAAATGGATTCAATATCGGAACAGTCTCGGAACTCTTGGATAAGGAAAGGTAATTGGGAATTCTCAAAAATATAATGATGGCTTAAAAATTAGATTTTGCTTTTATTTTCGGCACTATATTTTTGTTTCAGTTTTCGTGACATCTAATGGTGCGTTTATATGGGAAACCAACTTGGTCCTTTTAAAAACTTATTTCTTACAATTGGAAGTCATGTCCTAGAATTTTTATCGTTAATATTTAAAATAAGTTTTATACAGATTTTTCGTTATATTATAATTTTTCATGTTTATAATAAAAATAAGACACTAAATAACCATTCTGAATGATAATCTTTTAAAAGATGTTATTTTGTGACTTAGTATGCCGACAAAATTTGCCGCAATATTTTCTTTTTTTTACACCGTTTTGTTTTTCTTTATAAATTTAATATTTTTGAACACTTATTTTTTTTTCTCTTTAATTTTCGTATGTTTAACTCTTGAAAATATTGATATATAATTTTATTTCTTTTTTGGTCATTCGTAGTTAAAGTAAAAATGTGTCCAACGCCCTTTCGTCGGCTTCAGTTAAAAAAAAAAAGTACGTTTATTTATCAATAGCTAAGATTTTTTAGTCTTGACTTGTAGTTATTATCTTATTTTTTTTATATATAAAATTTTAAAAAAAAATAGTCAATTTTAACTTTGTATAGTTACATTTGCAAAAAGTTAAATAAAAAAACAACAGCAAAAAAACAAACAAAAACGTACGTGAATCGGGAGTGTCACTAATTTTATTTGAAGTATAATTTTGTTTTGTTTGACTTATTTAATTTATTTTTCTGATATTTTATTAGGATTCTTATTCAGCTTTAAAAGTAAAGTTGATACATCTAATTAACATGCTATAAAAGTTTTCGTAATTTTCTTTGACCATAAATCCATTTTTTTTTTAGTAAACAATAAATAAGAATGCTATTCTTCACAAGGAGAAAGAAATAAATGTTGATTTTTCAGTTTTTTTTTCTTAACGTCATTTTCCTGCGAACAGTTTTTAAATATTTATTTAGTAACGTTAGGCTAGAGTCTAGACAGATGGTAATTGTCAAAAAAAAAAAAGTTCACAAACCGGCATTTTGTTTACAATACATACACACAAAAAAAGACAAGGATGTTTTATTTTTTGACTACCGTTTTTTACCCGACCGGCTTGCTTAGGAAAAAAACATTTTTAGTTATTTATCGCCAAGTGACATTAAAAAACAAACAAAAACAACAATTGAATTAAATTTCTTAAGAAACAATAATGATAAAATTATCCGGCAACTACTTCAGTAGATTGGTCGACACTTTAACACCCCACCCCACCCCAAAAAGAAAGGTACTTCTTGTGTGTTATTTATCCACTAACTTTAATTTTTTTACATTATTTACATTATTCGGACTATTGTCAACATATTTATTACAACATTTCGGCCGTTGTACGCTCCGGCCTTCTTCAGGTGGTTGGAATGTCGAACTGAACCCTTTATTTCGCTCACTGGGGTAGACTGTTCTAGTTCCACGTGCCATGTTTGATGGATGTCAGTTATCAGTTATCTCCTGCTAATTTCCCTCTGAATGTTCTCCACTGCCTTAACCGGGTATTGAACTCACACTCTTTGGGTCCTGTCACTGGATCTAACCAACGCCTTTATCCACTGTGCCATGTGTCCTTTTTTCACAAATACACATATGTAAAAAAATAAAATACTTATCCCTAAGATTCATTTAGCAGTCTGAAAAGAAAGAAAAAACATTGTTATAAGCGTATGGTAGCAAGAGAAAGGAATAACAAAGAGTGAAACAACGTTTATTGTTGGTACTCTCTGTACAGGAATAGCGATCAGGTGTATGCATAGTGTCAGGAGTTAAACCATTTCTTATGCCGACGTGGCCGAGGTTAGAGTTTACGGCTGGTGCACGTTTGGTTGATGGATGTCACAATTGTAGGTCTTATCAGTTGGTTGACCTGTTGTGGTGAAACGGGGTGACATCTTGGTAGCCCTATTCTGTGGAGCAGATGTCGCTGGGGTCAACTGCAAAGGGCATGCCTTGTAAATGAGTCGAGGTAGGCCGAGGTGACGGCAAGTGTTGGGCGGCCAGTTCTGTGGAACAAAGGTCGCTGTATCGACTGTGAAGGGAATGTCTTGTAAACAAGTCAAGGTAGAGCTGTTCTGTGGAGTGGATGTTGCTTGGGTTGACTGTGAAGGGAATTCCTTGTAAATGAGTCAAGGTAGGCCGAAGTGACTGCAGGTGTTGGGAGGCTGAGGTGGTAGGTCAAGCCAGGAAGTGGTAATAGTTGTTGATTTGTGTAGTGATGTTAAGTGGTGGCGGTGATGGCGACGACAGTGACGGTAGTATAGTGGCTGGTTTGCAACTCTGTTGTCATGGTGACAAGGCCATGACGATAGTAGAAGCAGTGCCCTGCATGATGGCTGGTGGCTGCGCTGGGCCACGACTGTGTTTGGTTGTCCTCAGAGCCTGCTTTTAAGCAGGTCTGGAAGTCTCAAGGGGTGTCTCCCTCACTGGCAGGAATATTTGCAATTGGCCACTGCTGGAGTTTACTTTGTAGATTAGATGTGGTGCATGGAGCCCAATGAGCAGAAAATGACTTTTGTTATTTTATCTTCTGCCTTTGTGGCAATCACATCCAACCGTGCAGAATAAATCAGAATGAGCTCTAATTGCGACAGAGTATAACAACAATTAGTTAAAATTAAAAAAAAAAAAACAACTAAAAAACATTTTAGTTAACACATATAATATTATAAAAGATCACCAATGTGTAAGAAATTTAATTTAAAAGGTGGTGATAGATAACCCATAAGTACCCCCAAAAATTGGGAACACATTTTTTGGGAAAAAATTTTTGTATATTAGCATTCATTTATATTAGAGCAGACCTTTCTTAAGCCACAACATTTGTCAAAATCTAACAATATTCCCCAAATAGATTTTCGCTATTTTTTACAAGTGGACAAGTCTATTTAACTAGTGTCTCATACCCAAATGAAAAAAAAAAAAGGATAAAAAATTACAATAATTCGCATAAATATGACAAGTTTATGTTGTACTAGAAAATTGTAGGTTTAAGAAATCTATAAACAACTGTTGGTTTGTGTGTTTGCACTTGAAGCTGGAACATTAGAACATAAACTGAAGTTTCCCTATTATTGTGTAAACAAAGTACTTCAAGGATTTGTGCAGTGAGTACTTAGGATAGTAGGTAATTCAAAATATTAGCTGACTAGTACAATTTTGCTAGGGAAGACTGTTTGACAATTACAGAACAAGATAATTTGGGGAAAAGGTATAGTTGACAAGATAGAGGTGAAACAAATTCTGCAAGAGGAAGTATGATAGGGATAGAAGAGTAGAGATAAGTATTTTCAGGTTTAAGAGTCCAATAAAGCACTATTGTTCTTTTTAAGCATGCTTCGTAAATGGTAGTGAAGTCAAAAAAAGGGTGTGGTATTAGGCAATTGTAATAAAAATTGCTAACAGAAATGTTCAAATACAAGGTGGGGCCATTTCATTCCCAGAATGTTCCTGTTAAAATGAAGTTTGCTTACTTGGACACTATTGACTGTTGTCACCTATAGTTTTCATTTCCTTGCAAAACTATGCACTATGCAAGACAATAGTTGCATTGTTGAAAACATTCTTTGAATTTGTTTTCTGGAATACTATTCATTCTCATGTTATTGGATGTCAAGAATTGCGGCAAATCTTTGTTCTGTCAATTTTAGAAATAGCCAACACTCACAGTGGCTAAGTCTAGTGAAAAAGGTGGATGACCCTTTTTTATCATGGATTTCATAGAACTTTTGAAATTCTTGCATATCATGTACAGAAGCTTTATCATCATAGTAAATTCACTAGTCAGTGGAGTTTGAGTTTTTTTTTCTCCAAATAGATTTTATAACCCTTTCAGCATTTTGGGCTAACTACCATATCATGTTGAAACACCAGTTCTTGTATGATCACCAAAGTTAAGCAATATGGAGCCTGCTCAGTACCTAAAAGGATGACTGTTTGGGAATATCAGGTGCTTGAATCTTGGATGTGCAGGTGGTGTAATGGATAATGGCACAGAATTGGAAATTGATGAGCTGAGTTCCAATTACAGTTGGATTTGTTATATTCACTTACACACAAATACTCCTGGGAAAGTTAAGAATTCACCTCTTCTCCTTTCCAGCTAGAAATTAACTGGTAGGACTTGTCTCAGTAAATCATTATTGTCTCCAAAAAAGAGGTTTATAATCTAAAAATATTTCCTGGCTTTAAATAACCTGCAATGGGTTGATAAGCTGTAAAAAAAAAAAAAAAAAAAAAAATCAATCCATCAAAAAAAAAAAAAATTTCAGTACTTCCAAATAAATGTTTGCATTTGCTTTTTTTTTTTTTTTTTTTTTTTTTGACTGCAATTTTTGTGGTTCGAGTTCATCTTGGCCTTTCTTGAAAAACCTGTGCCACTCAAAATATTTTAATTTCTCCATAGTCTGTTCGCTATAAGCCTTTTTTAATACAGTACTTTTTACCAGTCTTTACACAAAACTTCCACTGCTCCTGATTTATTTCAGTCATTTTCTGCTAACATGGACATGTACAACTTTCTCTATTGTTTGGCAACAAATGACTCCTTTGGTCTGCATTTCAAGAAAGCAGATGTGCTTGGGTACGAATGTTTGCTTGATTCATTATTCCTGTGTCACACTGTAGTCATTCCAGGAATTAAATTGTCACACCTTGTATATGCTTAAAATAATGGACATATTTTTGGAGGGCAACATAAGATACTTTTTACATCATAAATAGCAATTCGGATTAACAATTTTAATGTCTATTTCTGCTTTCAGGCAATCAAAATGAAATCACAAGTCAGTTGAGTATTACAAGTTGAGTTTTACGATTTTTGCATGGTTATTAATATTTGGTAGATGATATTTAAAATATATATTCTGCTTGTTTTTATGTATGACCATTACATTTCTTTCTCTATTTAGAATCAGACTGCATTTTCCT